GGGGGGGGGTTGGAGCTGGAGCTAGATGCTGTTTTCAGTGATTGAAAGGGAGTGATGGAGGTGCCAGTGCAGGGAAGATTGTGGCAGATGGCACAAGCCCCCGAGGAAAAAGCTGGCCAATCAGTAGTTTGCAAAAGCAGCTGCTGAGAACAAGGAAGGTGACCTCAGCTCCCCACCCTGAGTTTGGGGGGGGTGGGGCCAGGTTTTAGTTAATAAGGCTGATTTCAGAGAGATTAGAAGTTGTGGGGATAAGGAATGAGGGAGGTCTTAACTGCTGCCCTGGCTGGTGCAGTGCAGCTGGGTGGGCATCATCCTGTGCACCAGGAGGTGGTTAGTTCAGTTCTGGGTCAGGGTACTATGCCCAGGTTGTGGGCTCCCTGGTAGGGGGCGTGCAGGAGGCAGCCGATCATGTTTTGCTCTCGTACTGATGTTTCTCTCTCCCTTGTCTCTCTCAAAATCAATAAAAATAATTTTTAAATATTTTAAACACTGCTAAGAGGTATGCTAGGACATGAACCTTTGGAAATACTCTTACCCTGTCATTGAAGTCCAGAACTCCATTAACATAAATTCATGTAGCTCATGTTTTAAATTTATTTTGGCATTGAATTAAATATTAATGTTGAGATTTAGATATAGTGACTGACCTAATCTACTGGTTAAATTACTCAGATCTGAGTATTTTTAATTCCTCAGTGTCTTAAAAATCTAAGTAAAATTTTTGTTCAATACAGACGATGTCTACCGTAGAAAAGCCTCAGAAAGACAGTATCAGAGGAGGCTGGAAGATGCATCAGAGACTGAACTTCAGCAGTCAATAAAGTGAAGATGAAATGTTACTAGTTTCAAATTCTTTAAAAATGTACATTCATTAAAAAATACATTCATTTTCATGTTGAGGGAAGCACATTGTAAAGTACACCTGATCACGGTGCTGTACACCTGAAACTAATACAAAATAATATTGAATGTAAACTGTGATTAAAAAACAACAGAACACACTGCTAACATCCCAGGGAGTTCCTCCTTTCCTGTGCACTTATGGGGGGTGTTCACCTGGCCCCAAGGTCTGCATCGGAGAATTTGAACATGCTTGGAAAACTGCATCCTGTATTTTCTACTTAAGTGACACCTCTGTGCAGTCATCTATCTGAACTATAGCAATTTGTCCTTTACATTCTAAGGAAGAAATAAATTTGAAGCATAGAAAAAGTTCTTAGATGTCCAGTACATGCTAGGCAATTTAATCAGTCAGGAATTTGCGTCCTCTAGTTTCCAGGAAACAGCATTTCTGTCTATTTGGCAATGAGAAGGGTCAGGAGTTGTGTCTGATACAAAGACATATCTGAGTCAGGTTAATTTGATTCTGACTTACCTTCACTAAAAGGTAAAATATTAGCCATGAAGAGGCAGCTTTACATTTATAATTTCCATAGCTATTCCTTAGTTTTCAATTGTTTTTGATCATCTATTTAACTTGACAACTAAAAAATAAACTCCACAACTTCTATTTTATTGCAATTCATTTTGCTGTATAGAAAGCTTCAAAACTTGGCAGTCCATTTCAGTTCAAGGAAATGGTATATCAACTTTAATGGCTGAATACAATTAGTCAGTTTAGTTCTTACAAAAAGAATGAGTATAATTATGTAACAGTCAACATCCTCCCTAGAATAACTAGTAAAAGTACATGTCTGGTTAATAATGGTCTTCAGTATTGAATCTTATTTTGTGATAATATTTAACAAATAGGAATAGGTTTTTTTAATTCTAATGGTAGATTTTTTCCAGTAGGCAAAGATTTTTTTTTAAACAGTTCTACTGAGGTATAATTGCTATACCACAAAATTCAATCATTATGAATGTTCCAATTCCAATTCAAATCTAGTTTTAGGACACTACTGTCATCCCCAAAAGTTCCTTTGCCCATTTGCAATCAATCGGTCACTGCCCAGACTGCTTTGTTCTTTCCCAGGCATGTGGTAGCTCTCCAGCAGCAAACTATGTGGGAGATTTACGTTGCCTTTCTATGGTTTTCTCATTTTTAGGTTCTCCAGGTTCAGTCTGACTGATCCACTGCTTGTCAAAATAGTACTGCAACATCAGGTTAGCAAAGTTGTAGGTTTTCCTAGTTCATTTCTCTCCATCTTTGCCACTTTTAGTTGATAAAATCACAGACTTTCTTCTGTCCCTCAAGTTGATGCTACATCCTTTCTGGCAGTAAAGCTGCTGTTTTTTTGAGACCAGCCCCACACTGGTAAAGCCACTCACTGCTTTTGCCACTGACCTGGGTGGGGGCTGAGGGGCTGAATGAAAGCAGCCACAGGCAAAAAGGCCACTGCCTCTCCCTGTTCTTAACCAAAGTTTGGGCCGTTTTTCAAGAATAAAATGTTCTCAATTTGTAAAATAAATACAAATAAAAATGTACTTTTCAGATCTCTTATTCTTACATAGAACTGCCTTAACAGAATTTTTTTAAGGTTTCCTATCTCTGCTTGAATACTTACTTCCCAGGTCACTGTGGAATAGCACCTGTGGAAAAATAATTTCCTCCTAAGACACACCTACCCATTGAATCTAGTCCTAAAACAATTCCAAGGATCAATCAGGATGCCTTTCAGTAGAGTCTGAATTCTTTGTGAAGTTCTTTTTTTAAGGCAAAAAAGTATAACCTTGCCCTAACCAGTTTTTCTCAGTCGTTAGAGCATCAGCCCACGGCCGAAGGGTCCTGGGTTCGATTTTGGCAAAGGGCACATACCTCCGTTGCAGGCTCAAGGCAACCACTCAATGTGTCTCTTTCACATCGATGTATCTCAGTCGCTCGCTCTCCCACTCTCTGAAAGAGCAATGGAAAAAATATCCTCAGGTGAGAATTTAAAAAAAAATTACAATCTTACTTTTTTGTAGAATTCAGATTTAATCATGGACATAAAAGTAAGATCTAAGTAAAATTTGATATAGCTAAGATAATTGTAATCAGGGTAATTATGCAGATTACATTTCTTTCAGTTGCCACTTTGTAAACATTTTGCTAGGGTGATGGGAATTCCTGACTGACATTACATTATGTGCTCTTGTGAACAGTTAAAACCCCTTCCCTTGCCTGGCTCCATTTACATACAGGGGCTGGACCTCCTTGAGAACTGGGGTGTGGTAGAGGTGGGAGACAGGCTCCCCCCATCCCCCAGGTGATAGACATTGCTTTCAAACAGCTGCTAAATAAAGATAAAGACGCTGCTCCTTCCCTAAGAAACTAAACGTCACAGTGTAACATAGATTTAGGCTAAATCATAGGCTTGGTCTATTGGCAGATTTTGCAATGTGACCCAGAATAAGTTTGTGTCAGCTGGTAGAAAAAAACGAAGGCATTTCCTAGGCTTGGATAAACCACATCCTCCATCTTTTGAAACAAGAAAACAGCTACATAGTAAAGAACACGTGTTTCAAAATAGTTTCTATTTTTCATGAATAAGCAGCAAGTGACCTGTCACACACATCTAAATTTTTTAGGGATTTTTTTTCTAATTTTAGTACATTTATGTTAGAACCAACTCAGTATAAAGAGCCACTGATGACCTCCTTAAAGCACTACCGACAGCAAGCTGAGAGCCACTGTTCAGAGATGGACTGAGGGTGAAGACCAGTGGCGATCAGCAGCACTGGGAGGAAGGGGGTTCTTGTGTACTGGCGTCACCTCAAGAATTGCTGGTGAGCCTCACAGACATTTTACAGGTTGGATTGCTGTGTAAGAACACTGTGGTATGACTCAATTGCATGGCCTATTCCATGGGGATGCTGTTTTAGAAGTTTAATATTTGCTACATGAAGAATATTTCACACGTTTTACGAAGAATCATTGTAAATGCTAATAAAACCCTCATCTAACTTCTGTATCTGCTGTGGGTTCCTTCCCTGGCCCACCTGCCTGACTCCATCCTAGAGAGAATCACTGGCCTGAAACCTGTGTTAACCTTCCCTAGTTTTCTTCTTTTTAAATACATATATTAGAACCCTGGCCACACAGCTCAGTAGGTTAGAGTTTCATTCCAGTACACCAACATTGTGGGTTCCACATCCCTGGTGAGGGCACATACAAGCAAGCAAGCAATGAATGCATAGATAAGTGGAACATCAAATCAATGTTTCTCTCTCTCTGTAAAATCAATAAAAATGTTAATAAAATTATATATATATGAGTGCCAATTTATTGAAGGATAACAAACCTTTGAAGATGACAGGGTAATTTCTGACTTCAAGACAAGACTAGCAAAGCAATTACTGTATTAAATTGAAGATACTTTCAGAGCACATTAGTTTGGATACTATAGAGTAAGAACTAATCTTTTGTTAGCTGACTTACAAGCTTTTTAAAACTGCCTCAAAAAAACATTTTAAACTTTTTTCTTTTGTTAATCTTCACTCGATATTTTTTCCATTGATTTTGAGAGTGGAAGGGAGGGATGGAGAGAAACATCCGTGTGAGAGACATCAGTTGGTGCGTCTGGCCGGGGATAGGAATGAACTTGCAACACAGGTACGTGCCCTTGACTGAGAACTGAACCCGTGACCCTTTGATGCGTGGTCTGATGCTCTACCACTGACCCACACGGGCCAGGGCTCAAAAAACCTGTTTAACCCTCCTAAAGAATGTGACTACCCTATCAGGCACTGGAACTATTTAAGGGAACGTGAATAATTTAAAGGACATTGCCCCCTGGCCAGTGTGGTTCAATGGTTAGAGCATTGGCTCCCCTGCACCAAAGGGTTGCCTATTTGATTCCTGGTCAAGCGCACAAACCTGGGTTGCAGGTTTGATCCCCAGCCCAGCCAGTGTGTGCTGGAGGCAACTAATCAATGTGTCTCTCTCACATTGATGTTTCTTCCCCCCTCCACTCTAAAAATCAATGGAAAAATACCCTCAGCTGAGGATTAACAACAAAAAAGGACATTGCTCTTATTTGCTGATTATAGAACTGCAGTGCCCCCTAGTGTCAACTACAAGGCAAAAATTTAATAACCCCCCCCCCCAATATTCATTCTAGAATGACAAGCCTAATTACCATTTATTGTTAGAAATCTATCCTCACTGTAGTGTTGGGGAAAGCATTCGGGTTTTGGAGCTTTGCTTTATCATGTGAACTGATAGAAAAAGTTCCTAAGTTACCACATAGTAACTTTGTTTATCTAGCAGTCCTATTTTGGAAGTTTTGTCTAAATCTCTGATGATGTAAATTAATCACATTAATCTCTTTTTGTAAGTTTGACTTTTTTCCACCCTGAATAACCTCTCTTTTTTTAAGAAATGCACGTGGAACATCGTATTTTCCAAAGTGGTTTATCTCCTAGTAGACAGAACATGATCAATTTTTAGTCTTCACGTGTGGAATTTCTTGCCATTTTTATGTGCAATCCAATGAATACATCTATTTTGGGGATAGAAATAGTCTTTTTGGTTCTGAACTTTCATTTAGCTGGCCTTCCACACTTCCAAACCAAAAAGGAACAGAGTAATACTTGGCGTTTGTTTGGTTGCTCATAGTGTTTAGCTGGAATGTTTACACACCAATGATCATTCAAAATATACTCATGAGCATAGATGGTAGTACAGCCCTAAGCTCTTAGGAGAACAGAACCACAGGGATTTTTGCAAAGTGATATTAGAGGAAAACGGTTGATTTTACCAACACTTTCTATTAAAAGTGTGGTCATGTTTGAAGAGCTTATAAGCATGTTAAAGACATACCTGGGACACTTACCTTTTCTGGCCAGACAGCTGACTATTTGAAATGGGTTATTGTTTTATGATCTAGGACATGCTTTCCTTACCTTCTGCAATCAGTAACTCTTCGATTTTAACTTAAACCTGCATTTCTGCCCACGCTGAGGACATGTTAGGAATTCCTTGATGACCAGCCTGAGAGGTTTGTCGTGGGGCATGTCAGGTTGTAGTGTGATATTCGGCTTCTGTGTTCATACAGCTTGAGCACTGGACCAGTGTCCAGACACTCTGAGGAGCTCTCTCCCCCTAAATTAGCAGCCATATCCCTGTCAGCATAAAATCAAGGTTTGCAGGAATTAAACCTGCTTGAAGCTAACACCTGACACAAGCTTTAAGAGAACAACCAAACCTGGTTAATCCAAATCATTTTGCAAACTCCATTTTTATTTGGATTAAAAAGCTTTAGATGAACAAAAATATGATACATACATGTTATAAGACTAGTTACCACTTAAAACTCTTTTGATACAGAAATTAGAATAAACCAAGTTTTAATCAGGTCTGAAAATTTTCAAGCTCAAAAGTCAACACCACCAATTTGGAAGTTTTACACAAAGAAATGTCCCCTCTCAATTCTTCCTCATAGGAAGAGAGGGGTGGTTTCAAAAACAAAACAATTCAAGGCCTTTTAAATCAGTTGGCGGACATACTACTTTAAACCTATAGTCTCCCCCCCCAACACAATTCTTTTCCACATGAACTTACATCTCGAAAATACTTAGGCCATTATGCTTTCTAAGCCATATCACTACAGTACCTAAAACTCATGGGAAAAAAAAGATGTATAGTTAACTTGTACTTTCTTAAATCAGAAATTTTTTTTTGTTTTTCTTTTTTGGAAGATGGATGACCTCAAATCTTATATTCTAAGTATTAACTGATATTCTCCTAGTTAATATACAGAAAGACATGATTCTAAAATAAATATTTTTTTTTAAAGAAAAACTTAATTAGGGCCTGTCTAGTGACCCCTTGGCCTGGCTTTGCACTGCCTTAGAGAAGCTCCTGGCCGGATCTATGGTTCCTACAGCACCTCCAGATACTGGGAAGGAGCCCAGAGGAGGAGTGCTCTGGTTTCTAATGCCCCACATATAGCCCACAGTAAAGAGTTTTTAGAGGCTTCCCAAGAAGTCTCACCCAGGCCTTAAAAAGGGAAATAAAATGGGCACATGAAATAAATAAATAACTTAACCAAAATTAAATTTCAGGTTCTTTGGTGTAATTCAAGGATGTCTAGAAATAAAATAATCTGATTGTATTATACAATCCATGATGATTCAATGGCCCAAATAACCAGGAACTGAAGATTTCTTTATCTGATTCAGTTTAACAATAAGGTACTGACATACTACTGTAATACATTTTTTAAAAATTCGGAATTATTTAAAATACTTGATGCAAACTGAGATCCAGTGGTTGACTATAGGCAATTAAGTTACAAGGGCCTTCTATCTAGATACAAGAGACTTTTTTCCATTCTACACTCTTTTGTCCCCATGATTTATAGTAAGAATGGTAATTAAATATCCAGGTATTGAGTCATACCAGACTAAAAGAAAAAAAGTATCCTCTGAGAGTCACTCTTTTAAATTACAAACAGCAGTGGAAGGTCAACCACAATGGCAACCACCTTGTTACAACAAAGCAGGTTTCCAAAAGGCCTAGTGAAACCCTGTTCCATGTTTGGTGCTTTTTACCTGCCTGAACATCATACACTGCCTCCAAATGTTTATTCTAGGGTCATATAAGAGAGACAGGGTCATCGAACCCAAGTGTTTGGGATCTGTAATGATCTTTTTCATGAGCATTTTCTTAAATTATGATTCCTTTCTCTTGAAATTTAAAAGCACAGGCTAAATTTTAAATATTTTAGAAAGTTTTAAATTTCTTGTTGAGAATTACAACGATGAAACTTAGAAGAAGAAAAAAAAGCCACATCTGATGAGGAAACAAAGAATGCTAAAACATTTGCATATGCAGGCGATTTACCATTTACAATTATGCTTCTGACACAGCTCATATCTGGTGATGCACCCCCTTCCCTATGTCAGGTTAGGTGTTATGTTTAAAAATAAATTACCTCCACGGACGCCTCAATGCTTTCTTCAAGATGAAATTCAATGTTTTTCAATGTAAGAGATTTAAAATTTTAAATCATCTAACATGTATAGGCATAAATTGTGAATTATTATAAATAGATCAAAAGTACCCTTAAACTTACCTGTCAAAACTAAATATAATTCAGGGTTGTGCACATGTTCTATAAAAATAACTGACACCAAAGATAGCTAACTCAGCACAAGAAAAAGGCTCTCTCCTTCCAGGTGTCTGGGAGATGCACCAGCTGCAGAAGGATGCACAGCACTGACTTCAGATTTCTGCAGCGAGCCTCTTGAGTTAATAGAGCAGATGTGCCATGTCTGCCAAACACATATAACCTAAATAACAATCTTTCACTTCACCTGTAACAAACACTTTTTGCTAAAGTGGCTTAACATAGTCAGGCACATGAAACAGACACAAGTACACTCCCTCTCTGATGTAAACTAGGACCAACTTCACATTTCATTATCAACTTAAACTAATCTGTAAACGTGTGTGTGTTGTATATTCCCCTCCCCCCACTGTTCTTTTATAAAAACAAAAAACCAAAAACCCCAATCCAAGACAAAACCTTTGATGGTTTCAGTTCATGGCAACAAGTAAAAAGATAAAACTCCAAGTCTACATATACAACCAATATGAAACTGGTTTTAAACGAAGGAAACATATGCAAAAAATCTTTGTGTATTTGATAAAGTCAACTTAATATAACAAAAACAAATTGAAATAGCTTATTAAAAGTGTCCTTATATAAAAATGGCCTTGTGATGTACAGTAAAATGCAATAAAAATTATCAGCCTTTGTTCCTCCCCCCACCCCCAGTAACTATGTGGCTACTATTCCACAAAACTCTTTATGCTTCTATAAAAGAAACGTAATAGATGTGATTAAAGGTTTTCTAGATTGTATGCTTGGCGAATGTTGAGGGTGTCTCGGAGCATCAAATCCCGGAGGCGCCAGAGGGCATCTGCCATGGTGGTGTGGGCCCCTTTACTTTTCAGCCAGTGAGAGGGTAGGCGGCTCTCTTGTTCTTTTGACAAATGGACATCACGCCTTCGAGCTGAAAATTAAAGTGCAGACAGAGGAATATAAATAGTAATTTTAAGGTAACAAATTGTCCCTCAGTCCTAAGGTCTGATAGATTTATTGGAACATAAAAACATTATGATTTATTAATTGTGAATTTTAACTCTGCAGGATATTTCCAAGCAAATTTCTTGTATCATTTTATTAGACATTTTGGTTTTTAGAAAACTACTTTACTTAGGTATGAGACTACCTAGCGAGGGATGTCTTGTTTTATGCTTTGCATTTTAGAAATTATCTAATTTATAATAATGACTTCACAAAAGAGCTATACAAACACCTAAAAGATCAGGTCATTAATACTTTGTTGTAGCCACTCCTGATACTTAATAATTACTTCCATACAAAGAAAAACTCCTAAAAAGGTAAATGTGAAAAGAGGAAAAACATACCTTAAAAGAAATTAAATTACCAAATTTGATTTAGAAATAAAGAAGTAAGTAGAAACTTCCAAATTTCCTTCCAGAGACTAGGCAAGTTATTTTAGTTTGTACTGAAAAGACATTAAGTATGTTGAACTAAATGACTAACTTGATAGGTTAACAGAAACATATTTTCTTTCTTTTTTTTAATTGAGGTGAGCCCTGGCAGGTGTGGCTCAGTGGTTGGAGTATCAGCTTGCACTCTGAAGGGTCCTGGGTTCGATTTCCAGTCAAGGGCACATACCCAGGTTGCAGGTCCATCCCCAGCTCCACTTGGGGTGTGTATGGGAGGCAACCAATTGATGTATCTCTCTCACATTGATGTTTCTCTCCCCCGCCCCCCCACCTTCCTCCCTCCTTTCCACTCCATCTAAAAAGCAATGGAAAAATATCCTCGGGTGAAGATTAAAAAAAGAAAAAAAAATTTAAGGTGAAATAATTTCCCCCCCCCAAAAATATATCTTAAGTGATTTCAGAGAGAGGAAAGGAGAGGGGGAGAGAGAGATAGAAACATCAATGATGAGAGAGTCATTGAACGGCTGCTTCCTGCATGCCCCGACTGGGGATCAAGCCCGCAACCCGGGCATGTGTCCTGACTGGGAATCGAACCCTGATCTCCTGGATCCTAGGTCGACACTCAACCGCCGAGCCACGCCCAGCTGGGCAAGGTGAAAAAATTTTTAATTTATTCAAATGCATTTATACTAACGTTCAAATGCCTAAAAATTTTTTTTTGAAAAAAATTAGAATATACTTAAAAAGATGATGGTGATGCTTAGGACAAAACTAAACTTTGAGATTCAGAAAAAAAAATTTTTTTTCAAAGGTGATGTCAATCAATATACAAAGAAGCTCCAAACCCTTCTATTAAATATACCATTTATTTTATTTCATAAGAAAAATGGATATTTGCCCTGTGCTGTAATATGCCAATAGCAGCAAGAGAACTTGAACGAAGCGTGGATTTCATAAAGACTTAGTGAGAAGGATTCTTCTTACCTGCCAGAGTCTGGTCCCACTTGCTGATGCTGTTGGACTCAGCACTGAGTCCTTCAATGTATTTCAAATAGGCTTCTGAGTGGAGAAGCCGTTGGGTCTTCGGTGGAGGAGCCACAAACATGGGCGTTGTTGGCTGCTGTATGACAGGGGGGCCAGCTGGATGTGGGCCAGGATATGGAGGTGGTGCCTGCTGCCCTGGAGGCCCCAAAACTCCTACCTGAAAGAGCACAGACCACATAGTGAGGGAAAAAATACTCAGCACATGTTTTGAAAAAGAGGATAATGTAAATTCTGTCAAGTCTTAGAAAATCCAACTGGGAGGCTTACCTGCTGTCCATATGGACTTCCACCTGGTGCCGGAGTCCCTACCATAGGGGCCACCCCTTGGTTCATTACACCTGTAATTCAGAATGCAATGTCTCAATCAGGGGCTCTGGTTGATAAGACTGAAAAACTACTGTCTGATAAGAAATGGTGCCATTTATAATGCAAGCCTATGGATCTCTCTGCCTTTGAGTCTTTGTGGATAGGAACCCTATGCACCCAAAATAGGATGTGGCATTCAAACAGAAAATTCCTATTCTTTTGTTTCCTAGGTACTTTACAATGCTAGTACAACTTGTCAGATGTGTATTAATTATTCATGGCTTAGAAATGATTTGAACCTTGCAAAAATTCTAGTATTTCCCTAGGTAAGCCACAGTCAGAACGCACCTCTTTTTTCAAGATATTTTTCTTCTGACAACACATTTTCCTGTAACTGAAGCCTGTGTTTAACTTCAGTAGTAATGGCATTCAATCAGGCTCAGTGGTATGCAGTGTGGTGGGACATAAGGACACAGGGAAGAGGTTGTGCAAGTGCATAGTTAAATGAGCTTTGTGGAGGCTGGAGGCTCATCCTTGCTGTCCCCTCACAGGCCACCAGCACCTCTGGTTCTGACTGGAGTCACTAATGCTGGCTCAGAGAGGGCGCTTCCATTTAATAGCGTAGCATTTTGAAGAGGGCTATCATTTCAAATGCAAAATGAAGGGAAAGAGAAAGAAATCATGGTTCTACTATATTTGAGTATATATCTGATAATAATTTTGTAAACTTCTCTTGGTGACTCCTCATAAACAATTTCTGTCTCACAGGTACTAGTTGATAATAATGAGATGTCTTAAATTTAGTGTGTAGGGTTATTTTAATCATCTCAGGACCATCCATTTACTGTTCTCAAAACAAAGAAAGAGGCAAGAAACCCAGTTCATTAAAAACTAACAAACTACAACCAGAATCCTGGTGAGTTGTTGTTTAAACCTGAAACAAATCCTGCTGGCTGCATAAAAGCATCAAGAGGAGCTGACATCATATTCTAGATAGTTCCTCTGGATTCAAATGTTATTATTTTGGCCAGGCAGAACCAGCCCAATATTCTAAGGTTCAGAATTACTAAATGCTACTTCCAGGAGGTATTAGACATTTGTTAGAGAGAAAATAATAAGTAAAAATAAGCTTTCTGTTTACAAATCAGGAATTTTTATATTTTAAGTACCCAGAAGGATACCTGGATCACCATGGTAGGACCCTAATGACTACTTGTGAATGAAGAGGTTGTGGTGGGTAAGCTGCTTTTCCAGCAACATATTATTAACCCCTGCCTCCCACTCACCAGACTTAGATTCTATAATACAGTGGGCCTCCCTGAGCTGCCTGTATCAATCTTTGCAGAGCAGCACAAACAAATCAGCAGCCCCCTCTGCTTCCTCTATTTACAAATGCCATTCAAGGGAGCAGCAGGTGAGAATGTGCGCCAAGTCCCCAGAGTTCTTCACTGAATTCTCCTCTTCTCAAAGCCTGATCAGAAATGTGTGTAAGCACTAAGAGGGTTTCTTCCCTGTCTCCCTGACTACAATCCAGTGTGTTGTTCCTTTCAAATTTTACACTGAATTAAATTCAACTTAAATTGAAAGGCAAACAGCAGTGCCCCAACACCCACCAAAGATATCTGCTACCTACACTGTACTTACTGGCTTTAGATATGGCTCCCACTGAGCCCCATGTGCACCTAGAAGTCAGCTCCAATCTGGTCTGGCTGACTCAGTCAGACACCCTATGCCAAGGTGAAAAGGCACTGAATTAAGGCCAATTCTATATGCCACATGGGCATACCCATTTTATGACTGACTTCCGCTGTAATAGCAACTCACACACAGGCCACTATTTCCATAATGAAGCATGTACTCCCACAAACACTTCCTCCTCTGGATATATCTGGATCAAACACTTTTGTGGAGTTATGACCATTCTCTAGTCATTACAGTGTGTGGCTGGAGGTTCTAGGTCAAGCCACCATGTTTGCTCACCATGCACACTGCTGGGTGTACCCTCTGAAGTATCGTTTGGAACTCTGTATAACCCTATGATCAGTAGGTCCAATACTGGTGTAAGCAAATCTAATGTTGCTACATTTTATCATCTGGGCTGGGCCTTTAGCTGATATTTTGGATAAGGGACCAAATGCAATTCCAAGTCACCTTAAGGTCACATTCCCTCCAACTAGATTATAGCTAAGGGTCAGTTCTTTTGAACATGACGACAATTAATATGGGAACTTGTGATTTTTCCTTTGATAATAATCTTTCAACTTACTAATTAATTATAAAGTAACACTGTAGCTATATGTTGACTTCATTTATATGTTTCTTTGTGAAATAACTTCTGAGCTGCTGTCGACAGATAAACCAGTGTCTACAGTTAGAGTGGACTATGTTATTCTTTAAAATGTTACGTCATGCTTCTTAGGGGACTCAGACACAGAAAACTAGCTCAGTGCAATCCCCTTAGAAGTGCTGTTTGAAAGCAGGAGACAGAGACCCTATACAAGATCCTGTGAGATAAGAATTGAATCAGAGGAAGAAATGCACTCAGGAGCAAAAAGTGCTTTTCTATGTGACTCTCAACTAGCAATGTGAAAAATTTTATTCACTGATAAAGAGGACATAGTCTAGATTGTGTCTGACTTTTTTAACACATGCCAAATTGTGTGATTTTAGAGATTGCCTCCTGCCCCTTGGTCTGCTAAATCTGGTCTCTGCCATGTGTCCTGTGCTGCTGCTAGACAGCCAGTTCCTCTACACACAGGATAGGTCCTGCCGCTGACATCCCTGGGATTCTCAGGGTAGGAAGGGCTGCCCACAAGGGGCAATAAGTGCCTCTTAAAACAACTGGCTGAGGGAGAAAATAGAGAACACAAAGATGAGATTAATGAGCGAATGAGGATGAAGTTCTTACCCGGTGGTGGGATGCCCGGGAGGCCAGGCACACCTGGCGGAAGATGGTGGGGTGGAGGCCCCCCAGGGTGAAGTGGCTGCATGCTGCCCATGCTAACAAGGCCATCAACTGGGCCCTGCAAAGGTGGAAGGCCTGGCGGATAGCCACCCATCATGCCTTGAAGGACACAACAAATTTCAGACATGCATCATTAACATGCAACATGAGCTAAGTAACAACAAACCTCCCACATGCACTACTAATGAATAAAGCACCCTTAGTATTGCATGAACAACGGCAATTAGTGCAATTATTTTGTTGCAATAATGAACAAAATAAAAAGTTATAAATATGAAACCCAACATTTCTGGATGAATTAGTACTTAGTATATTATTAATTGTAGTTATTTTCCCTAGGATAAATATAATGCATGTTTTCAGTTAAAAATAAAGAGGAGTTCCAGTAACAGCCTTCCCAAGGTCATGATATTGCAAGCTGTTCAGAGTGACCAGTTCTGCCACTGCAATTCTAATTGAACAGTAATAACCCCATCATTCCACTCTGCCCACACTCATATGCCTATCATGGGAACACATGAGGGGAAATTGGAATGGAGGGAAATGAGGCGCACAGCCCTGATCACAAAGCATGGTTCTCCAGCTTGGGGGAGGATGGCAAGAATTTTTCAAGACTTTTACATCCACTCCTCCTCCTTTCTAGCCCCATCATTGCAGCTCGAGCTTGAGCCGGTAAACTGCTAAGAGCCATCACAATGTCTGATATTTCTTTAGATCTCAAAACAAGTTAAAATAAAGATAAAACCTAAACCCTCTCAAGCCAACCTAAGCTCAGGTCACTTGTAGCCTGCAAGCAGACCTAAGGGAGGAATGGCTGGAGAATCAGGCTCTGTTGACATGAGAAAATGTCAATTGTCATCACTGTCTCCACGCTCACAAATGTCCTCACATAAACCTTCATTTAACAGGGAGCATTTTAAATGAGGTACAGAATTTCTGTGAACAAAGGCTCTTATTCCTTTATTTTCAAAGTGCATCTTCACATGATAAAATATTTTCTGCTGGCTAGGGAAGAATTTCAAGAAAAGTATTTTTGGCAAAAGGAGTGAAAGGAGGAAAATAATTTCAAAATGTCAAAGACTCACCTATCAAAAGACCTTTGAAGCCACACGACATTTTTTTAAGCAAGAAAAACAACTTGACTTTTCTAGGATTTGAAATGATCACAATGAACAAAACATAATACTTTCCCCCAAAATGCAATCACCTTTGGTCACAACTTCTTGCACAAAGGGAGGGTTGAGGGACTGGTGCCAAACCTCATTTTTATAAAATACTCTTTGTAGAGGGATTCAGGGAAATAGTGAAAAACTCCAGATTCTAAGAATTTTACTCTTTGACTTTTCCCTAAAGAATTATTTTAAAGATATTTATTTATAAAAGTTCAGTCTCTTAAAGCTATAATTACTGATAATTCTGAGATTGATTCAGCCTGCTTCATGAGTCACATCTAAGCTAACTGAAAAACTTACAATTACACAAACCAATAAGACAATTTAAAATAATACCTCTATACATAAAATAGGATTATGAGTTTCATTTTTAAAAAATCAGAGTTCAGAGAATAAAAACTACTTTTGAACAGACACCATCACTTTAAACATGAGGAGATCCAATGTTGCCAAACTGCCTTTTAACACCACCACCAGATATAGCTTTTAGGGAATTTAAGAATGTTAGGAGACTTTGCTTTCAATTACAAAAGCCCATCTGAACGCACCCTTCACGGGCTGTGGTTGAAGAAATTAAGAACTGAAAGACATGACACTTGTCTTCATTAAACTGTACTTTGGCATTTATTATCCCAGTCACATGTGTTCAAATGAGCTTCAATGCTTGTAAGCAAAGCTGGTTTCAGACAGCAACAAGGCTAAGACTTAGGCCCTATGCAACCTGTAAACCCATGAACAATCACCGTTAGCTGCAAAGTTTCCACTGTAGACTGGTGACTATAGGGAATGCTTGCCCTTCATGCCCATGGCCCAGAAGTCTGGGCAGCACGCTCTTCGTAATGAAATAGGGGCTTTCTAAAAGGCAGCCCACCCTCCTCACCCATCAGAGCTCTATGACGTTGTTCCCCAACAGGGAGCTAAAATGCTGCAGCTGCTGGTTTTTTTTCTTTTCGTTTTTTTAAAATGTTTTTAGCTGTTTGAATTCATTTTGTTAATGTGTCCCTGGGCTTTTTAGTCAAGGGCACAGCGCTACAATATCACACATCAAATAGAACAAAACAGGATGTCAACAAGGGAATTCTAACTTTCAAAGTCCCCATGTTCAAGGCCTGATTTCTAAAAACCTTTGGAACCCCATTAACCAAAATGGGCCATGGAATAGAGCAGGCAATTATGAGATTTGTTAGATCAACATCAGTTACACTGAAAGTACTGAAAAGCCATGATTCAGATGTGCTTTGGCGAGTGCAACTGCTGAGTTCAGCGACAGTGCATTTGAGAACTTGCCATCATGAAAGGTAGGAGCGACAATGGAAAAGTTTTCCTATGCTACTCTTCCTCAAAAAGCAAATGCAAAAAAAGCAAAAGCAAAAACAAAACCAAAAAGAGCATCCCAATAAGCCTGCCTTGAACAACACTGTCTTAGACTCCCTATGAAAAGAGGTCAGACTGCTTTTGCTTAAGAAAGGGGGCTTATATAGGCCTCACCAGGCTTAGAGAGATCATGAAGGAGGGACCCGAGAAGTGGTCTGCAGGCTTCTCATTGGAGGCATGCCAGACAAGGATATCCAATTCAAGAGCCAAATTTGCTATGGCTACCAGAACCAGAGACAACACACACAAGCAAACCACATTCATCTTTTTTTTTCCTTTCTTTTAAAATATGTGACTGGGATACTAACAGAAAATGCAGTTTAATGTAATTAAATAGAAAAGCATTACAGAGTGGGCACAATGAATTGAATAAGGACTTTGTATTCCACTTAGCAGTCATGCACACTGGTGACCAAGAAAGGATTTATAATTCATTGTCAAAAATCCTTTGAAATGGTCAGTCTTTTTTAAAGGATGGCTGCAGCAGAACAAGGCAAACTGAATACTGGAATGAGATGGGAAAATCAACATCACCTAAAGACTAGTTTTGTATTTTGGAAGTCTCTCCAGAAGAGAATTTGGGGTCTATTTATATTTTCTGCTATAATGCTCTATCAAGCGCAGTGTGGGGTAGAGAACAGCGCTAGACCATGCCCACAGCTAGGGAAGAGCTGCTCCCTACCATTTCCCAGGATTAGGCCCAGGGCCCATTTCTGGGGCAGAGGGGAGGCATTGCCCATATGGGAAAGGCAATGTAAGGACAACATGGATGACTTCAAACTTTGAATCTGTCATAGAAAAGACTAGAGACTGTGGCCTACTCCTCATTGGAGAAAAAAAAAAATGAAGGAATTTCTTAAAGTGGAAAAAAATGGTCTTAGCTCCTGTTTTTACCTGCAACAGGTGTCAACTGCTGATTGAGCATCCCCATTGGTGTTGGTGGTGGCACCACCCCCATGAGAGCCCCCACAGGGGTGCCTGCTCGGGGAGAAGCACTCGGCTGCTGTTGCTGTGCTGCTCGCTCTCTCTCCTGCTGCTCAGCAACTTTAGCTGCCCGCTCTGTAAAGGCATTTCAGATTTTCAATTCTGTTTTTAACCCAGGAATTCAAAATACCATCCATTGCATTCAACAGGACTAATAAAAACACAAGTAACAGTTCTGTCTCAATGGAAGGAACAGTAGATGACTAGTCTCAACACAGGAGGATTCGGGCCGATTTCACTTGGTAAACTAGAGTCCAGCTTTCCTATCCCATCTTGAGAACTGGTCTGCAAAGATTTCAAGAATGTTAAGACTGCAACACACATTCAGAAAGCACAGGTTTTATTTAAACAGCGTAACCAATGTGGTTAATCTCACAAGGCACCCTGAAGATGAGAAGCGCTACCATTATTCTAGTATTAAAAGCATTGCAAATTATTTATAATTTCAACATGAAGCAATTCCATGGCCCATTATAATTTTTGGCACAATTGTTACTTACTATATTTTCCTGATTCCTTGCACCCAATTTTACTAAGATTTGAGAACTCTTGTTATTAGTGTCATGGGGTTTAGCAGCTGAAGAAAATTAACTCTGTAAGGGAAAAGTAGCTCATTGCCTCCTCCACAAGGTTTTAGAGACATTAAACGCTAATTTCTACATTCTAATGAAGCAAAGAGATCATGTTTAATAAACCCCAAGGGGAAAAAATGCATGATACTCCAGGCTATAGTCATCAAAAGAAGGGAAATATATATTCACATATGAAGCAATGGACAATATACTGACAGAACCAGGTTTCCTGAAGCTGAGCAGTTCAATACTGACCATAAATCACCCTAAATCAGCAAAAGTTCCAGAATTCACTATTACTTCATCTGAAATTCAAGAGGAGCATTTGCTTGTGCCAGTTCTGGGCTGTGGAACACACCTTGCTATACCCCTCACTCCTCTGAGCTACTTACTCTGTCTTCATCTCCATAGCCAGTAGCCCCAATGATCACATTCCCAGGCTTTTTTGGGAGCTAGCAGGCTGGACCCTTACTAGGGAACTCTAAAAATGTATATTCCCAAAGATCCCACAATACAGGGTTTATTTTGCTTCACCATTCATAAATAGGCAATCTTTCCCACTCTTCATCTGGGTAAACTGAGGCTGGGAGACAGGCAGTGACTTGTCCAAGAATACAGAGAGAACCAGCAACCTGTGGCCCTGGCTCCTGGTATCACACTCCAACTGCCACACATTGACCCTCCAACATAGAATTCAAAAGGCCTACCCACTGGCTGATCTATGGAGGGGGAAAATAGCTTGAGGTCACATGGCTTTAAAGAGAATCAAGAAGCAACAGCTTCAGTTCTCCTTTATGTAAGAATGCGAAAAGTCAAACAAGGCAAATCATCTTCAGCTGCGACACAGTTGCCTGCATACTTGTCATCATTCACTAACACTGTCCCAGTTTACAAATCCTCTGTACAATGAACGTGAGGGACAAAGGCCATTTAAACAATCTGTTTATTTCCTTGAGCTAGCAGTGATCTAGACCACCCACATTAAATTCTAGTATTTTCGTTACACAAATGGCACAGTAAAACAGGAGAACAAAAAATGGAGCTGAAAATAGAAAAATTCAGGCTTGTGGATCAAATACTGGATTGGCTACTGATGGCTCTTTCTGGGGAAAGCCCACTTGGGTTGTCTTGGAAAAGAAAATTATTAAATGAAACCAGCCAAACTCCAAACTTTGGGTTTTGAATTCAATGGGTCAAAACAAAAGTTCAGACTCTGTGTCTCAGGCAGACATTGCTGAGTCATATAACTCACTCTCACTTGGTTCTCATGAATTTCAGCCTCCCTTTTGATTTTAGGAGAATTTCCCAGGAGCCATCATTTCTTCCTCTCTTCAGCCCTGCTCCAGCGTTTTTACTTGTACATTGCCTCCAGACACTTTTCTCTCTTTTGTTCACAATTTAAATAACCAGCCATATAGTATTAGCTTTATTTACCCTGGACCAGGCTTTATACCCATGTGAGCTTCATTTCCAACACTCCTCCCAACTGAGTGATATATTTGGTTTTAACCTTCACTAAGGTCAGAAATACCAAAGTTCTCAGTTCTTATGAAACTGACTAGGGTTTCTCAAAGTATGTTCTATAATATATTAGTTTTTTAGGATATTAATGGTATTACATGAATACTTGGCCAAGTTTCAGAAAATGCCAGGTGAAAAAAAGATTCTTTACTATAGGTCTTAAAGATTTTAATATAAGAATATGCACTATAAGTTGCCAAGAGAAAAAATGTTTGGAGTTCTTCTCAAACTAGTTTTGCCACAAGTGGTTTTTGGCTGAGAATCTTGTAGGAATAGGGTTCTGCAGAAGCTCCCTGAGGATGCCTGTCAGATAGTTTTATAATAACCAATCAATTATAATTGGAAAAAAAAAATTGAAAAAAAAAAATTCTTTTTCTGAAACTCCAAAAACTGTAATAAAGGGACAGCCTTAACAATTAATTTCTGTTTGATGGAAAATAATGGATTTGGAATCGGCCAAGCAGAGTAATGGTTGGCCACTGGGGTCAACCACTGAGCGATGGCTCTAAACTGGCAAAATAAACGATTACATACAATTCCAAATGGAAATAATACCGCTCCAAGGGCAACAGTCCTGCCTAATCTAATGTTTACTATTTATTTCTTTATTAAAGCCATGAATAATATTAAAAAACAAAGAAACAGAAAAACAAACAAAAGTATTTGTCCCTCATGGCTAAGAACCACCAAATCCCTGAATGATACAGCTCATGGCCCAAAATGATTTACTTATAGAGTAAAAGGAAAACAAAGGCAGTTGAGCTTTATCAAAGAGACCCCAAGTGCCTTAAAAGTAACTGAATGCAAACACAGCACAGGCCAGGACTGGCCTAAGAAACCAAGCGCTTCAGCTAAGCTTCAGGATGAAGTTTAAACATATGGCTTATCAAGAGCCATAATAGAAGACCACTGATTTTGAAAGCCAACTTTCAGATGAATTTTAACCAAAATTATATCTAATATCTTTGTACAATCGTTCCCCAGCTTAACACATGTATGCTTACAGGACTCAATGAAAGAAGAAAATCATGCAGTTTTTAAGAGCAAAATACTGGTTTGAGAGATTTTTTTGGGAAAAACAAAACAAAAACCCATACAAGGATCAGAGGCCAAGTCAGGGGCAGCGCTTGCTTAGTCAGGACAATGCTGATATTTAAACTGTTGGATGGGAGCCATTTGAGACAGTCCCCAACACAAAGTTCATGTGCAAGTGGTAAGAAAAAGAGAGGCATTCCTGAAAACATCCCCTTGCTTAGAAAGCTGAGACAGTTGTGCCTAGTCTCTATTTACCTTCATATTCTGCTTTTTTGGCTGTCTCAAGGTTTCTCCATTCTGTCCCCACCAGTCGGCTGAGCTCCCCAAAAGAGTAGTCTGGGTGCTGGGCCTTAATCACAGCTCTCATCTCACTGCTGAACAGGATGTAGCCACTCATGTTGATTTTTCGTTTGGAGCCTTCCTTCTTTGCACTGCCTTTGGCAGACTTTGGGGTAGACTGTAAGACAGAAAACTCTTAGAGTGCATCAGAACATTGTATTTGGTTAACTGCTCAAAGTTTCTGGAAGCCAGGAACATTTGATTCAATAGTTACTATTTTATAAACATGTTCACTTTATAGAAGGCAATTTTCTTGGTTAAAATACAGCTCTTCCTTGCCTCTTACCATATAAGAAATAAATGGAAATTTCACTGAATTCTATGACAGCAATCTGTAATGGTGACCTCATAATTAAGTCTTGAGAAAATTCTGTATGAGAAAAAATACCAACACGGATCACCTCAACCAAAAAATGAGGTCCTAAAGAAGAGACTAAAAATATAGGGGAAATAAAAGTAACAGGATGATGCTGTTCCTCACTGTTTTTCTTCAACACGAGGCAAGGAGAGCTTTCTAACTAAACTTGCCATTAAAAACAACAATGTATGAAATTTAAAAAAATGTATTAAATTTTAAATAATTAATGGCATTGAGAAAGAAAAGCCCTGTTCCTTCCTGCAGAATTCTAGGTTGAAACTCACATATGTAGGGTCTGGATGTCTCCTTACTTTGGTTTGAGTCTGCTGCAAACTAAAGCCTGGAATAAGACAAGTAACAGGAACTTGTCACCTTCACCTGTGGGGGTGTGTAGGGCATGAGATCCAGCTCACTGGCCAAGGGAGTCTGAAGTTGAGGCAGAGAAGGAGGCTCAATGACCTCACTATCTTCTTCTCCCATCTCTTCAATATCATCATCTCCACCTTCTAACTCAGCAAACTTAGCTTCTAGTAACTGGATCTTCTTTTCTAACAAAGGTGAGGGCTCCTTCTGTGGAACAATTGGTTTTCTAAAAGAAGTGACATAAAAAGAAAATTACCTAACGTGACTCCAGGACTGGTTAGAAAGCAGTGTTCTGCCTTAATATCTAGAAATTACTACCTGCAATCTGCAAAGCACACTCTAAGTCAGCAAGGAAAAGAACTTAAATGTGTATTTATAAAGTCACACCTACTTACAGATGCTTGATTTTTAAGGATTCTGCTAAATACCCACAAAGTATTGGGTCCAAAGTTGGGATCTAGTTGCTTATATAGTGAAAAGAATTTTCGTAATCTGTGGAACTGTGCAACCTTTTAACAGAAATTATGAACCAGAACCAAAGATTTCTGCCTCCACATTACAATTACTGGAGTCTATGCCAATAGCACCGTTAGAGCAGTTACCACATCTCAGCAGATTATGAGGATTTCTTTTCATCTTTAATTTTTTTCTATTTAAAATGTATGCTGCTCTAGTTTAAAAACCTAATAAAAAAACAAAAAAAAAAACCACCCTGCACTACACTATTTTGATATCAGTTTTACTATTAAGAGCTAAAGTGTTCTTTCTTCTTTAGTTTTTCAAGCTTTACCTGAAGTAATAAATTTCATCATCTACCACTTTAGCAGAGAGTGAAAACCTCTTCAATCCCTTGAATTTCTTCATTTGCTTGTCACTCTCGTTGTAACGGCTCTCACAAAGCAGAACATCATTTTCTGGTATTTCAGTTGGCCTGCAGGAGAGGAAGTCCTTAAATGACAACACAGCACACTTTCCTGAAAGAGCAAATTGGAGAGAAGTTACAGTACATTGTGGTTATAGCTAACATTTTAAATTTTTATTATTTTTGAATTAATACAATCACCTGATTCAAAAGTCAGAAGATTTAAAGGGTATACACAAGCATAAGGATAAACACGTTGGTAAATGGAATATAACTGAAAGTACGGAAATAAACTGATACGATTGGGTTTTTATGGGAAATCGACAAGGGTGCCAAGACAATTCAACGGGAAAGAATGGTTGCTTCAACAGACAGACTGGGACAACTGGACTTCCACATGCAGAAGAAATGAGTTTGAAACCTACCCCATACCATATACAAAAATTAATTCACAGTGGATCAGAGATCTAAACGTAAAAGCTACAACCATAAAACTCTTAAAAGAAAACATAGGTGTAAATCTTTGTGACCTTTTATTAGGCAATGGTTTCACAGATGTGACATTAAAATCACAAGCAACCAAATGAAGTAAAGATAAACAGGATTTAATCAAAATTTAAAAGTTTTTTGCTTCAAAAGACACTATCAAGAAAGTGAAAAGACAATCCAATGAACAGAAGAAAATATCTGCAAATCATATTTCTGGTAAGAATTTAGTATCAAGAATATATAAAGACCCCCTACAACTCAACAAGACAAATAATCCAATTAAAAAATAGGCCAAGGGCCCTGGCCAGTGTGGCTCAGTTGGTTGGGCATCAATCATGCACCAGGAGGTTGCTGGTTAGATTTCCGGTCAAGGGCACATGCCCAGGTTTTGGGGTCAATCCCGGGTAGGGGGCATGCAGGAGGCAGCCAATCAATGTTGCAGTCTCCCATTGATATTTCTTTCCCCCTGTCCTTTCCTCTCTAAAAGTTACTAAATGATTCTTTAAAAAAAAAAAAAAAAAAAGGTTAAAAAAAAATAGGCAAAGGATCTGAAGAGATATTTCTCCAAAGATATACAAATGGCAAATAAGCACATGAAAAGATGCTCAACATCATTAATCATAAGGAAAATGCAAATGAAAAACACAATGAGATACCACTTCAAACCCATTAGGATGGTTATTACATTTAAAAAAAAGGAAAATAATAAGTGTTGACAAGGATGTGGAGTAACTGGAACCCTGGTGGGAATGTAAAATAGTACAGCTGCTGTGGAAAACAGTTGGCAATTTCTTAAAAAGTTAAATATAGTTGCTATATAATCCAGAAATTCTACTTCCTTTTTGTTTTTCTTTTAAATATATCTTTATTGATTTCAGAGAGAGAAAGGGAGAGGGAGAGAAAGAAATAGAAACATCAATGATGAGACAGTCATTGATTGGCTACCTCCTGCACACCCCCAATTGGGGATTGAGCCCACAGCTCGGACATGTGCCCTGACGGAATTGAACCCCGATCTCCTGGATCCTAGGTCGATGCTCAACCACTGAGCCACGCCTGGCCGGGCACAATTCTACTTCTACATAAATACCCAAAAGAACTTAAAGCAGGGACTCATATAGATACTGTAAACCAATTTTCTTTCTTTTTTTTTTTTTTAAATATATCTTTATTGATTTCAGAGAGAGGAAAAGAGAGGGGGAGAGAGAGATAGAAACATCAATGATGAGAGAGTCATTGATCAGCTGCCTCCTGTGCGCCTCCTGCTGGGGATGGAGCCCGAAACTCCGGCACGTGCCCTGACTGGGAATCGAACCCTGATCGCCTGGATCCTAGGTCAACGCTCAACCGCTGAGCCACGCCCGGCCGGGCTGTAAACCAATTTTCATAGCAACATAACCCACAATGACCAAAAGGTAGAAACCACCCATATGTCCATTAACAAATAAATGAATTAACCAAATGTTATATATATACACACACAATGGAATACAATCAGCCTTAAAAAGGAATAAAATTCTGTTATATGATATAATAGAAATTAACCCTGAGAACATTTTGCTAAGTGAAATAAGCCAGATACAAAAGGACAACTATTGCATGATTTCACTTACATGAGGTACCTAGAATAGGTAAAACTCATAGAGACAAAAAGGAGAACATGTATTACCAGGTGTTGGGAGAGGGAGAAATAGGTAATCGTTGTGATGATGGCTGCACAGTACTGTCAATGGACTTAATGTCACTGAATTGTATACTTAACAAATAGTTAAAATGCTGCACTTTATGTTATGTGTAATTAACAATAAGAAACTTACAAATAGCAGCATATTGCTTATATTGTTTTACACTTAAACTTTGTTGCAAAATAATATATCTTGAGAATTAATGGTATTAATGTACTATGGTTATTGAAACTAATTCTTTATTGATGAATATTTAGGTTATTTTCAAATTTTTGCTTTCCCATTATAGTAAAACAATGATGATATAAATAATTTAAGACACATTAACTTCCACATGGATGAATATATTTGAGGTATAAATTTCTAAAAGTACAAAAGCTGGGTCAAAAGGGTATGTACACTTTAATTTTTATAGGTATTATGAAATAACCTTCCATAGAGATTGTGCTAACACGTAAACTCAACATAAAGGGGGTGAATGCTGCTTTTGTATGTTCTTGTCAACTAGTAACAGACATCTGAATCTTTGACAATTTGATAGGTAATTTTTTTTAAAAAGGAGCATGTGGGTAGTTTTAATTTTCATTTCTCTTTGGCTGAGGTTGAGTATGTTTTAAGAATCACTGCTTATTTCTTTCTGCTCTCTCTCTTAGCCTTTGCCCATTTTTCTGTTGAATATTGATCTTTTCTAATTGTTTTATAGGAGAGCTCTTCACATATGAGGAAAATATGGTATTTGTCTATGATATACATTGCAAATATTTCCCAAAAGTTGCCATTTGTCTTTGCTTCTATCAGTTTTGGCTATGCAAACATCTTAACTTCTACATAATTGAATTTATAAATCTTTACTTGCATTGATTCTGGGTTTTAGGCCAAAGGTTATAAAAACTTTTCTCCCATCATTTTTTTGTTATCTTTGCTGCTTCATTTTATTTCATTTAAACCTGTAATTCATCTGGAAATTTATTCTAAAGTTAATGAAACGAATGGATACAATTTTATTTTTCCTAAATGGCTGTATTTTTCTAAATACCAGTTAGAGAAAAATCCATCTTTTCCTCATATATCATATAAATAAATTACTACAGTGTTATAATAGAACACCCCCCCTCCCCACTATGCTTTTCAGAATTTTCCTGACTTTTATTTTATTTTTGACATGATTTTAAAAATCAGTTTATTTAGTCCCAAGTTTGTCACAAGAAAATTCCAATTGGTTTATCTACTGGGATCACATTAAAGATTAGAGAAAACAAATATCTCTACGATGTTGAGGCTTCTTAGTCAAGCACATGGTATGCTTTTCAATTTGTTCAGGCGATTCCCTTTTAAATGTATTAAAGGTAGCATTTTAAAACTTTCTTTATACAGCCCTGGCCGGTGTGGCACAGTGGACTGAGCATCATCCCATGCGCCAAGAGATCACTAATTTGATTCCTGGTTGGGGCACATGCCTGGGTTGCAGGCTCGATCCCCAGTAGGGGGTGTGCAGGAGGCAGCTGATAGACGTTTCTCTCTCATTGAAGTTTCTATCTATTTCCGTCTCCCTTCCTCTCTATCTGAAAATCAGTAAAAACATATTTTAAAAAAATTTCCTTTAAATTTATCCCAAGGTATAATATTTTTTTATTGAATCTTTTTTTGTTGTTAATCCTCACCCGACAAAATTTTTTCCATTGCTTTTCAGAGTGTGGAAGGAAGGAGGTGGAGAGAGACAGAGAAACATCAATGTAAGAGACACATTTACTGGTTGCCTCCTGCACGTGCCCTGGACATGGTGGAGAGCTAACTGCAGCCCAGACACATGCTCTTGACTGGGAATTGAACCTGAAACCCTTCACTGTGTGGGCCGATGCTCTACCCACTGGGTCACAATGGCCAGGGCTGAATCTTTTAATGAAATTTTTTTATTAGTTTTAAACTCAATCATCTTACTGTGTGTCATGGTTGTATAATCGATTCTCTTAAGTTTTCATCTACTTAATTACCTTATTTTAGATTTTTGTTTCTTACTTCTAACTGTGCTGGCTAGTACTGTACCTCTAGAACAATGTTAATGAGAGTGATAAGAACATCCCTATTTTGTTCTTGAACTTAATAGGAGTGTTCATAACTAACAACTTAGCAAAACTTGTAAAAAATGGAACAACAGGTCAGAAACATTTTAGAAGCTTAAAATAGCTACAGTTATACACTATCACTGCCTTGGACTTACATAATACTTTACTTACATAATCTAAAGGCTTTTCAATTCAGAGAAGGACAGTTATTATTTTCTATGTTTCACAGAAGGAAAAATAAAGATTTGGAAAGGGAAAAAATTCTTCTCACAGCTAAAGAGTAAAAATGACTGGTGGCCTTGGAATGGATGTGGTGTCTCTGTGCCCTGACTGGCCCTCAAAAGACAGAGAAATATAAAAGTTTAGAAAGCATCATTAAATAAAGCATAAAAAATTTATAAAAACCTACTGGATTTTGAATGGAACCGCAATGAATCTATAAATCAATTTGGGGAGAACTGACATTTTTATAATGATTCTTCCAGCTATAAACATGATGGATTGCTCAACCAGTGTGGCTCAGTGGTTGAACATCAACCCATGAACCATGAAGTTACTGGTTCAATTCCCAGTCAGGGCACATGCCTGGGTTTTAGGCTTGATCTCCATTAGGGGGCGTGCAAGAGGCAGCCCATTGATGTTTCTATCTCTCTATCTATCTCCCTTGCTCTCTCTCTAAAATCAATAAAAATGTATTTAAACAGCAACAACAACAAAAAACCCATGATGGATCACTTCGTTTTTTAGGTATTCTTTAATTTCAATAATTTTCTTACAATTGTGTGTGTACATCTTTTTAAAGACTTATTCCTAGGTATTTAATGTAAATGGTATATTTCCAATTACTCGATGATAAAAAGAAATGTAAATGATCT